CCTTTCGTTATGTCTTAGTTTTGAAACCTATCTTTGGTCAACAAAAAAACAGAAAATAGGGCTCTTTATAATTATTTACATCTCGTTAAGTGACAATGCATGCTATTGTATTCGCCTCCTTCTTGAAACAACGCAGACAAGGTTCATGTTGATTATCTCAACATCCAATCTCATGTCATAAATTTTTTTCGATGAAGCTTTTTATGCGATTCTTCACCAAACGCCTTAGGTTTAGCTTCTCATGCGATCGATATTTGTAACAAATTATAATCCGTCAAGTTCTTCTCCGATTAAGTTTTCTGTGCAAAAACATGTGAGTTAGATGCACCAATATTCCTAGGAGGTCAAATCACGTGTGTTGGGAAGACGGTGCTATAGAAACCCTCCCATGATGCGTCGAAAGGAGACAATAGAGAGGTTCTCAATGCCATAAAACAGCCAAACAATTTAGCCGTCAGGCGTAAAAATGGACAGATTTGAACCGATAGTCGTATAAAAAAAGTTATACGACCTAAGGGGTACGTTATTAAGAGGTCAAATCACGTGTGTTAGGAAGACGGTGTTATAGAAACCCTCCCACGATGCGTCGAAAGGAGCCGCAGGCGTAAAAATGGACAGATTTGAACCAATAGTCCTATAAAAATAGTTATAAGCCTAAACTGTCATATATCGTCCCACATTTGTCACACCACTTGAGACTTCTTTGGGCTGCAATGTAATAGTCACTCCATAACCATAAATTTATTTTTCGTTTCAAAATGGATCCAAATGTGCTGCGTGAATATGCTAAACGTCCTCTGGAGATGAGCAACAAATCAAAGCTCTACAACAACATCAGCACTTACCTCCTCTTGGTTTTTCAAAAAAGTGTCATGGGGAATACCTGAAATAATTTCTTAATTAAATGATCAAGATTAAAGTTCATCATCTGACTGCAATAGAAAAGACAGCATTATGGCTTCTGATATTCGAAAAAGTTCAATTCGAGAGCAGAACTGCTGGAACTGCTGGAGAAGATAGATTTTTGTCAATGTTGAGCGTTTGTGAATTTTGAAGTTGCTTTAGTTGCAAAAGAGAGGTTTCTAGAAAAGAAATTGCCCCACAGAGTGGAAAATTTGCCAGTTCATTGAAAAGGAAGGCCTAGTTAAATGCCCCACTTTGCCCGGGGTGTTTACTTTGGAGAGCAGGGGTGGGGCTATGGTGAGAGCAGTATTATTTGTTTGATTGTTGATCGCCTGTGTTCCTCCACACGTTGATGAAATGTCGGTTCGTGAAGCCGACACAGGGCAAGCACGCGCGCTATGTTATAACAGTCACTATTCTAAAGTTATTCAAAGAATAGACTTGTTTTGAAAAACCTTCTTAATTAAAGGATGTAAGTTTCGGAAAAAAATAAGTAATATTTACCTTGATAACCTGTCATACGCGACCGCTGTCCTATAAAAAAATACCTGACACTTACCTTGTACATCGTGCTAGTCAAACAACGGAATTTTCTTGTATCTTACACGCTTGACTCGTTCGCAACCATCGACATCTGTTCTCGCGCTCGTGCGTGGGATATTTAATCAGATTTTCTTGGTTTTGATCGTCACTGAATGTTTGGACGGGTACTAATCGACCAGCAGGTCGGATGCGGGCCGACAAAAATGAAAAGTTGTCTGAAAAAAATGAAAAGTTGTCTGAATAGCTTAGTTCTCTTAGCTTGAGGGTCTCGATAGGGTGATGGCAGTTACGGCTGACGGTTAAAATTCTGGCCATTTTACGGCTAAAGTTGATATCATTCCATTATTGTCAACATAATTTTTTTTTCAACGGCTAACTTTTTTTATACGACTATCGGTTCAAATCTGTCAATTTTTTCGCGTAACGGCTAAATTTTTTGGCTGTTTTATGGCATTGAGAACCTCTCTCTTGTCTCCTTTCGAAAGACCAAATCAGCGGAACGGTACAACCTGTTATTAACAGAACCGGCCAACGGGTTACTAGCACGCACTTTCTAAGTTGAATCGAGTTGTTCTCAATTCAAATGAAAGCATTTAGCAAGAAACAGGTTCATGAAGATTAAGTTTGAATAAACCTGCCTCAATTAGGGCAGAATCTCTGATGTAGGTTAAAAAACCAATTCCACAAGCAGTTTACGTTTAATTGAAAGACAGGTGAGTCGTAAATTGTTTCGTGAATATGCACTACTATTTACCTCCGCTTCGATAAAAATTCAACAGACTACAAGAAATGGCAATGACATATTTCAAAGCAGATTTGATCAGTATTCAAGTTTGTGCCGTCTCAAAAGAAAAAAAAGTTTGTTTTGACGGCATTGAGTAGTAATTAATTCAACCGTTTCCAACCTTTTTTTAGTACAATTTACCACAACGGAAATATCCATTGTTTTTCGTTCAGCGTCGGTCAAAATTTGCCTGAAAAGGGCAGTGACATATTTCAAGGTTGAACAGGCATATTGAAAACGCAAACCCCACCAAGCAATGGAATGGAAAAGGATCTACTCCTTGCCTTTTGTTGTCGCAATAGAAACAAAACTTTGGGAATTTCAAAATAAACTTGACATTCACATTCACCCTGATGCAATATTTGTAAAACGGAATTCGAATCCCTCGAAGAGTTACTTTTCTTTTGTAAGTCAACAAAGGTCGCTAGCAAGCATTTTTCTTTTGGAAAAACAAACAAAATGTTTCTGTAAAAATCCATACTTAGTTAGCTATCTAGTAAAGCAATAATCCTCGAAGATGAGGTCTAATTCAATCAGTTGCAGAAAAAAAGCCAAAAAAAATTACTTCGACGGAATTCGAACCCATGCCTCCTAGATTCTCGATGGGCGCTACTGCCAACTGAGCGACGATATCGCGTGATGAGAGCAAGTTTAGAAATTTTATCGACTATCTTATTTGATGGGTTTAACGAAGGTGAAGACAATGTTATCTTAAGTTATTTGATGCTCATGGCAAAATTCTTTATTTTGAAATACAAATTGAATGACTAAGATCCATCATTAAACATATTCTCTGTGAAAGTAAAATCAATCTACGACACAAAATGACGAATAGCATCAAAACAAAAAGAAAAGATTACTAAGGAACCAGCTATTTTAATCGCCTAGGTGGTTTGGAAGATTTTTTTTTTTTTTTGGGGGGGGGGGGGGAGGGGGGGAGGGGGGGAGGAATCACGTGGTTTCAAGGGGAGCGGTAGGTGGTGGACCAGTCGTCGCCAACAGAGTATAACAGGGGGTATGAAGAAAATTGGCTGCCCATTAACTGCAAACGAGGGGAATCATGCGACCAATAAAGAGACCTATGTCAGAACGAAATTAAAAACAAATTTTCAACTTTGTGCGCGGTTAGTTTTTTTCCTTTTTTTTTTTGGCTATGACGTTGTTTCTCGAACCCATGGTATCCGTAGTGATTCTTTTAGTTTATTATTATTATTATTATTATTATTATTATTATCCTTAATTTTTTATCATCATTGTATTCAATATATTACCTGTAGTATTGTGATCATCTTGGTGTAGCTATGTGTTACTGTATGGCACCATTTATTCTGCTATGCTTTTGTAAATTGTAAAATATCTATTTTTGTTATGTTCTATTAACCCTTTAAGTCCGATGACCAAGACATATTTTTTTCCTTACAATACAAATACAATCTCAAGCAGACAAGCGATTCGAATAAATGGAAAAATCAATTAAAGTATTATTGATTGATCCAGTACCAAATTCTCTGAGGTAACATCATAAGATTTGTATAGTAGATAGTAAGGAGAATTACTAAAGATATCTTGATAGTGAAAGAGTGAAGTGTCTGTCCAACAGTTACTGAACGCTACCATTGAAATGATATTTCTATATCTGTACGGGAGAAGCCCACTAAAAAACTATTTAAAAGAGAAATTTTCATGTATTAGTTTTCTCAGTATTAATTGATGTCTTCCTTTGACCATGTACTATTTGTGTATCTGTTGTTTGTAATGGAGATAGGACTGAGTGGAGTCCAATTCGGTCTGTTATCATACGAGTGATAACAAGATTGGACGACCGCGCGCAGCGGGAACACGATTTGTTTATCACTAGTATGATTACAGACCGAATTGGACGACACGAAGTCTTATTACCGATTAATCAGAAAAATTACAACTTCCAAAAAGGTAGAATAGCTAAGTTATGAGAGAAAGGGAAAATTTACATCACAGCACTGACAAGGGAGACGTAAATTGTTAAATACCGCTCTGAAATTGACGGTAATCAAAATGAATGTGATTGAAGAAATGTAAAATGGTTTCTGTGTTTACATAGCCTGATGTAAACACGCGGGAGGTTGGGAGAACACGAGATAAGCGTGGGAAACCACGACGCGAAGCAGAGTGGTTTCCAGCTTATCGAGTGTTCTCCCAACCTCCTGCGTGTTTACATCAGGCTATGTAAACACGGAAACCATTTTACATTTCTTTTATAAAATAACTAATGAAAGAGAAACGAAAACCGTGTTTACATACGCTCATGTAAAATGGTTTTATGGCCAATCAGAGCGCGCGTACCATTTGAATTATTTTATAATGGTTGATTTAAACTACAACTGAATGTGATTGGCTTATTGAACTTTCCGATAACAACTTGGTAAGTGAATAAGTGGAAAATAGGGGTTTTTTAGACCAATCACAATCGAGGAAATTGTAATCGTTATGATTAAAAGTGTGATTCCTTTTTCACTCTCTCATATTTATATCGCCGTTGTTTATTGTATAAAAAAAATGTAACTTAATGTGAAGGGGATCTAATTGGCTCTTGATTATGCCCTTCTCCATTTTTTTCTCTCGTTTACAATTATTCAAAGGTTGTAATTGTTCAAATGGAGGAAGTAACAAAAAGAAGGGGAAAAGGGTAAATTGACAATGAAAATCCCTAAATACGAAGAAAGAGAAGCTTAGGGAACTAATGGTAAACTGTTTGTACCTTAATCATATTTTAAAGGCCACTTTCTTTCAGAAATTCTGAGACGGTGACACTGAACAGCGTCCTCCACCAAACTTCACTATTGTTATGGGCATTTCTCGAAGATATAAACTCTTCCAACTTGTTGTCCTGCTAATAGGAGTGCTCCTGCTGTTTATAAACCTGAATCCTTCGGTAGAACCTGTTATGCCCGATCCACCGGATCCACCGGATCTCCTTCCTTTCCGTATCAATGTCCGAGAGATTCAAGGTAAAATAGTCTGGCCAATTTCTAAAGTCACGGTCGGGCTTCCTATTAGTCAAATCCAAGACCTAGGGGAAAAGAAGCTTAGAGTTCTCCTTGTGATAATTGTGTCGACAGCGCCTTTGCGCTGGGAACGAAGGAACGCCATACGACAGACTTGGTGGAAGTACTGCAGTGTGAAAGAGGTTAGTTCTGTTTCTCATGGTTCGGGTCAGATAAATTATGCCGGCATAACTTTTGATTTATTGCTATAGTCAGGGTTCCGAGCCTAATGCTGGCATGATGACTAAAATTCTTAAAAAATTCGCTTGATGTTACAGTTAAACAAGAGAAAAATTTCTATAGACTGAGTTCTGTAAGCAGTGAGGCTGTTTTTCTTGCTTTCTCTTTTGGAATTTGATTTGGAAAAAATGTTGTGTTCTGAACCTCACCCCTGTTGGTGGTAGGAATGGGGGTACGAAGGGGAAGAAATTGAGGGGCTCTTAAAAGCTATCATCTTGAATTATCAATGAGCATAATGAAAAATTTTGAGTATTGTTTTCGCGTGAAACAGTATTCAAGGATGACGCCCAAAGGTACAATGCTGAAATTTCCGAGCATAATTAATCTGACCTGATAGTTACGTTACTTGACGTTTATTAGCTTCGAAAAAAATTGTCCATAATTTTTCGGGTTACGTTATGTTTCAGCAATCTTTGTTTATTATAAAGCACTATAGCCTTCTAATGAGTTAGTATCTTAGACTCGCTCTCGAGCGCACTGGTTCAAGATATGCGCCTGGTCAGTTGTCAGCCCAAAAAATTAACATACTCACAATGCCTTTCTTTAACTTATGTGCAGCATTGAACTCTGCGACGAAGATCAAAATTTTATTTCATTTTCGTAGTTTTGTTGCCAATTTTTTGTTCTTTTAACCATTTTCTTTAGTTTTCCCACATTTCCACACCTTTGAATTTTCGTGATGGAGTTCAATCTTCAAAATACATCCTTCCTTCACCAAGTATTAGAAAGTTAATTGCAGATAAGGCCTGGACCTACAGCCTCCTTCTATGTCCAATCATTTTCTCCTGGCCATACAATACTAAAGATTATAACTGCCTGCGCAGGTAGCTTGCCACTTTTTTACAGACGGACAAGTCGTCAACAAGAAGATCCAGAAAAATCTCTTAAACGAAACATCCCGTTACGGAGACATTGAGTTCCAACCGCTTCTGGGAGGGATAGAGTTTGGAATTCGCTTCTTGTATCACGCCAAATGGGCCGCGGCTAATTACGACTTTCAATATTTTCTTCGCACGGACGATGACTACTTTGTGTGTCTTAAGAAGCTTTTGAATGAGTTACCTTGGCGCCCTAAGCATAATCTCTGTTGGGGAAATTTTCACTGTGAAGTAAACATGACATGGATTGACGAGTCATGGATGATGTTTTCGCGAGACATCATTGACAAATTCTTGAATCAAGATGCGCGTACCATGTTGTGTCATCCGCACGCTGACCAGCAGATCGGTATGTGGCTCAACAATATATCAGGTCGGTTACTTTTCCATGACGTTCGTCTGAATCACGTGAGGGAATTTGACTGGCGGGCGAGAAACGTGTGTGTAACGTACATGGGAGTTCATCAAGCTTTTGCGTCGCGCATGCTACAACTGGCCAAGACGAGCGAGGACGGCGCTAAAACTGTGCCCCCCATCTCTAACTTTTCCTCGTATTGTGAATACGACACGTTTGACTATAGGAAGCTAAACGGCCAATATTTTTATGAACCAAAGCCTTGTGTTGAGAACGCAATATGGGTGAAAAATCACCGATTATGGCTTGGAGAAGAGGGAAGAGTCAATTAATAGTTTAGTAGTCACGGACAGAACACTGTGACCCTAGGAAAACACAGCGTTTGCGCATGTCTGCGTCTGCGCACGTTGAAATGACTTAGTGCTGTGAATTTCAAGGTTTCAGAACCAAGTTGTCTTATACAAGTTGCAAAGAAAGTACAAACCAGTAAGTTATAGTGTTTTAACCCTTTAACTCCCAAAATATCATTAGTAATTCTCTTAACTGTCTGGCATACAATTCTTACGATGTCAATTTGGAGAATTTGGTATTGGATCAACTAATAATTCCATAATTGATATTTTACTTCATTCTCATCACTTCTATGCTTGATATTGTATTGATATTTGAAGGAGAAATTCTCTCTTGGTCACTCATGGGAAGTAAAGGGTTAAAAGTATATGATCTGTTTTGGTAAAGGTCAAAACAGAAAGGTAAATTAACAGTGTACCCGTACTAGAAAAAGGCTTGTGTTTAAAAATTCTTGAGTTTTCTTTTTCAGCTACTTTTGTTTCCTTTTAAATTTATATGAACATTTTAATTTCCTACGCTCATTTTTTTAAGACAGCGATTGTTTGTTATGTTTTTGTTTGACATTTTGCGTGTTGTTCAACTGCATGGGATACCATGGTGACAGACTTCATGTGATCCATTGGAGATGAATTTTTTATGTCTGACTTAATTAATTGTGAAGTTTAAGCCACAAAGTTTCACCAGGTAATGTGCTCTTGGTTTCACTTAACATGTTATGCCGTTAAAATTTTAATAGGAATGCGATTTGAAATGTAAAGTGTAAGCATCTGACCAGGGACTGAGACTGGTCATTATTCATCGGGGGTGGGGGCAGAGGATTTTGGTTGTGTCATAATAAAATTTTCGTGCAATTTTTTACCTTGTAGACTCCGAATATCTTGTCCTTTTTGGCGGCTAATAACCATTTAACCCAATGAAGGGAGAACCCAGCCTCCCCTTCCCCCCCCCCCCCCGCTCCCTGCCCCCAGCGCGCGCCATTTCCCCCTCTCAGCCCCTAACAGGATGCATATTCAAGAAAAATGAAAAATATAAAAGATTTCACCCTTTAACTCTTAAGATCTGATTGTTCACTTTTGTCTCTATCTGCAACACATTTCTTTGTAAATTAGTGACGAGAATTTGGAGTTAGATCAATATGACAATAACAATATAACAACCATTGTCCCTGATAACTTTGAGTATTCTCATTACCTGTTTACTGGATAATGTATTGATATTGTTGGGAGACTCAACATGTCAACCACTACTGGGAGTCACAGGGTTAAAGGCATCATTACAAAAAGAATCTAATAGGATTCTGAATTTTTTAAAGCCACTGCATTTTATCAGTGGTTACAAGAGATCTTAAGGAGATTTCCCCTTTTGATCTCCTGGATGGTTATATCAAAAGTTTCTTTGACGAACGAAATAAGTAAGCGGTAGTTGCAGAGAAAGACAAACATCAGTGAGATGACAGCGATATTACAAAGGAGAGAGATTAGTTTTGATGGTGGAGATAGATAATTTTTTTTCCTTCGACTTTTTTCTCTGTGAATACAGTTAAGAGTACCTTAGAGGATAAGCGGGTTTGATGGCATGTTACAAGTTTCATTTCTTGACAAGGTGACGTGACATCGTTGGGACCCCTCCTTTGCTTATTGGGCCAAAAAATTGACCCCTTCAAGAGCAATTCATATGCTTATAAAACGTTTAAAACGGTTCCTAGAATTATTTTTTATTTCAGATTACGATTGAGTGTTTTTTAGGAGGATAATCCCCACCTTCTCTAAGTCACTTCCACGGTGCGCATTCAAAAAAAAAAGAACGGTGTACACAAACTGCTTTGACTATTATCTGAAAATTGAAGGAACTCCTTCAATCGGTGGGTAGTTAAAACAAATCTTTCCCGGATTATGTTACAGACGTTTTCTAAAGACATGGTCTGTAGCTTTCACCGCCCCTTGAGATCAGCTAACGGAAGTGCGTATCTTAAAAGTAATGCGACCCCTCTCAAATGAAAAGGTCGCCCAACATGATGTCCGCTTAGTTTAGCCAGCATTATAAAATCTCACGTCCACCTGGATATTTTCTTTTCGATCGCTGTTCGAAATGGACCTCAGTGGTAATTTTCAAGTTCAAATCCTCACTTTTGGAGGGCTTCTATTTGTTTTATCTATTTTGACCGCGAGTACCGGAGGAAATGTGCTCATACTACCAGGTAAGGGAGTCATTTCTATGTAAACAGCGCAGCGTAATTTTTTTTTCTGAAGACAGACTGCAAAAGCCGGGAGTGCTTCTAGAAACTCGTGATGGGGTACGCTACATGCCGCGAGTCTAGAAACCCGTTAGCTACCTCGAACGAAATAGGTTCTTTTCGCAAAAACAATGTAATTCGCTTGCTTAAAGAAAATGAAAATGGCATCTGCGAAACAATATATCCCATTACAGACTGCAATGCTGAGGAATTTTCAAAGCTTCTTAGATTTAAGAGCCGAGAGGTTAAAATCTAAGCTCATATATAAACCGAGAGTGTGCAAAAACCATACTTTTCATGCTGCGCTTATTCATAAAGCTTATGTTTGAGGAGTTAACAGTGGGAATACGGAAAATGTTATTCCTATTTCTTTTACCCCAAGAGAATTCCAATTGCCTATTGTAGTCTATAATTGGATGACAAAGAAATTGACCCGAAAGATCACGATATCTCAAATCCAACAAAAATCACAAAACTGCGACGTGGAACTGCAAACTGCTATTTCCGTAAAACTACTCAAAAAATCAGGAGATTTCTCGTACAATCGACGGATCCTTGTGCATGTTGAGACTTGGAACGAAATTATTCAAAATCAGCGCTAGAATTTATGAATCCTCAAAGGAAGGCCGCAAATAATCTCCAACAAAGCTGCAAAGTTTTTCTTTCACTCGACTCCGACAATTGATTTAATTTGGGCTTTCACTTCGCCATTCAATACTTGAAAAATTGGGCGTTTCTTTCCAAAATTTAAATGATGTCAGCAGCCTAACCTCGGCTTCGTTTCGTTATCCACCTTCATGCCTTTTGATACTTGAATGACCGCGTGCAAGGAAAAGGAAGTTACAATCAATCTTTTACAATTGTTTCAAAAACAGGATACAGGACATTCTTTGACCTTTTGTTTATGTTGTTTTCCCTAGTACCCACCCCCCCTCAGAATGGCGGACCTGTGACTCAAGGTGAGAACCTAATCACTTGACGCAAACTAAGTCGGGTATCCCGTGTACTTAGCTATTAAATTTGGTGGAACACAGGTCACCCATGCTCAGTACACGAGCACATCTGTACTAAAAAACTTCAACTCAACAGAATTTGAATAAAGAACACGATGTCCTTTTGAGACTAATGGGTATGTAGAGGTAACTAAGAATATTGCTCACCGCGCTTTTAAGTCGATCTAAAACAGATTTACCAAGCGAGGTCAACTTTTTTTGGCTATCTTCCGGGAATTTACTGATAAGCAATCGTTTTCCACACTCAAATCCATGTATTTCTGATGTTGCGTAATAACAATGTAGTACAGTTATACTCGTATATCGAGCTTAGGCAACCAGTGTTTGAAAAATCTTTAGCAACTGCACAAACTTAGCGAGTCGTACTTGCTTTTTAAGAGCCGGGTTTGTATAGAAATGTTGAATGGAAAGTAGAGCGCGCGCGAGTTTTCTAAGTAAAACTGAAAAAAAAAACAGTGTCACCTTGATCTCTTTTGATGATAAAGTTATTCAGCGAACAGAAAAGAGAAAAAAGTACAAGGGAAATTATAAATATGGCATAATGCATTTTCCTTTTTCTAGGTGACTTGAGACAAATTACTCCAGACAGCGATGAAGCTAAAATCAATGAAGGTATGACTACACAATCCAGGCCCATTCCTTTGTACCCCGTAAAACATGTTACAGCACTTCACTCTTTTAAGTAGTTTAAACGGCTTCATGGCTGCCTAATCAAGTTCAGGTACTACACTAATTTCATCGCCACGGGCGCTCTCTCCTCATGAAGTCATTTACATCACTAGGTAAAGGTCCGTTAGTAATCACATAACAACATTCCTCGTATCAGGCCAGGATAGTAACAGAATATCGATCCTAAACTCCAGCATAAAAAAAAAATGCAGGTCATCCGTGTACGTGATGGTTTGTAAGAGTTCCGCAAAGACCTTGGAAAGTTTCTGTTACAAGGTCAATCATTAATTTGATAGGACTCAGCTCACTAATTAAGTTGTTCCAAATCATTCCTGTCCCAAAACGCGTATTCTTGTCCTGCTTCGACTTTCACCACCGATTTCACGACATTTTATCAAAATTCAGACCACGAACGACTTCAGACTCTGAGACTCTGAGAGACTCTTAGGGCCTGTTTACATGGAGGTGGGGGACCCCAGGTAGGTGAGGTAACCCGCCTAGCCGTGGTCGAAAAATAAAACGCGTTTACATACAATCTTACAACCCCGGGGTGCTGAGGTGGGGTTTCTTGAGGTTGTTGTTGCGCTTGCAGTTAAGGAGTTTGAGCAGAGGCTTCCCAAGCTCACATCTCGTGAAAGACGAAAGATTAATTCTCGCACACACATGTCTATTCATGAAAGCGTCACGCGTTGTGTTACGTGGTGTTTGGTTTCGCGAGGAACCGTTGACTTAATACGTTACACGGAATAGTTTGGGAAACCAAATATGGTCGATAAACAGCGCTAAATATTCCGAAATGTGTACATTTTATACTACCTGTGTGTCCGTTGCGATTTCTGGTGATTTCTGCTATGAAACGTCAAAGAAATGTACAAATTTTTAAAACATTCATGTCTCGCTTTTGAGCTTTTTGACCCCGGCTAGGCGGGTTACCCCACTTTGAGACATTTACGTGGCAAATTGTCACCCCGGCTGACAGGGTTACCCTATACCTGGCAGACCAGGCAACCTGCCAAGGCGGGTAACCTCACCTTTCATGTAAACGTGATCAAGATAAATAATGGTAATTGAACTGAGTGGAGTGCAATTTGGGCTGAAATCATACGCGTGATTTCAAAATCGAACGAGCGCGCAGTGCGAGTTTCATTTGAAATCACAAGTATGATTTCAGACCAAAATTGCACGACACGAGGTTCAATTACCACTTCAGTACATCCATTTTGAAATCGTCCAAATACAGGATTTGGTCAGTCAAATATTTTATTGATGTAGTACTGAACTGGTTTGAAATTAAATTGATCCATTTTTAGGGGGGGAAGATAAGAGTTTTGGAAACAAAAGTTGCAAAATTTGCCACATGATACTCTCTTTCTTTCATTTTCCTGCAATTTGATTGGTTACTTTAAACAAGCCTTGAAACCTAATTGGTTGCTTTGTTTTAAGTGTAACCTCCTCATTGGCTGGGAAAAAAAATGCGATTTAAGACAAAAAATGGTGCGATTCGTGAATAAATCGCAGCAATTAGAGCCGATCAGGTTACAGGGACCACCAGTGATTTCAAAATGGGTGTAA